ATCAATAGATAATGACAGCATATTGGTATTTGTTTTTGTTTGTTTGTTTTTTTTAGTCAATTTATTGAACATGTCAGAAACAAAAACATACAACAATAATATATATATATATTTTCTTTTTTTCCTTTTTTTTCTCACTCAAATTAATAATTATAACAAAGTACAAACAAAAAAATCTCTTACTGCCTTGCTTTCCCTCTCCGTCCCAGGAATCAGTCCATGCTGTTTGGAGGAAGTCCACGATATGAGAACGCCCCGCTGATAGGGAGAGGATCCCCACCGCCCTCGGTGCGTTGGCCCTATGAGGCTCTAGTGTCCCTCGTTTGACAAGGACGATGGCACTTCTGACTTTAACACAGCTACAACACTAACAGAAAGCATGCATAGCAGCACCATGAAAATAACAACACATATACAAAGTGTCGAATCTCACAATGTTCACACTAAGTGAGGAGAGTTTGCATGTGATGAAAGACTGCTCTCTGCTGGCCATTGACTGAAGTGCATACAAGTGTAGCCCTGTGCCATATCTGTATGCAAACACACACTAATCTTTTCACCACTGCCTTGGATTCTATTTCTACTAATTATAAAAGTGCTAAAGACTAGTGCATACATTTACACATGTGTAAAATAACCATAGTTTTTGTTGAATAAAGACAGTGTAGGTACCTAGTTTTAATGGTTGGACTTCTCTTTATAAGCAAGTTCGAGAGCTGAAGCTTCATGAAAGGAGATGCTTAAAATCCACAGTTAAAGTTTCTTTTGACATTATTTTCTGTTCAGTGCATGGCTGACTCACTGCTTAAAATGCAATCACTTTTTGTGGGAGATAAGGGGGTTATGTGTTGAAAACGTGCCTCTATGGGGCTCCAAGCAAGGCTCTGCCATATGTTTTTTTTGTTTTTGTGCATATGCTTTTTATTTGTTTGTGTAACGGATGGATTTTCTTCTGTTTTAGTTTTTATGAATCAGCTCTGCTACTAACTTTACTTGCTTCTATGTAAGCGGTTTCTCAAAAAGGTTTCTGATTGCTTAATGTTAACCAGTGTTTTGTAACTAACCCTGTTGTTATTTTCACTTTTTTTACTCGGATTTTTAAAAACCGTAAGTTTCCTGTTCTTCCTGATTTTCTTTATTTCATTTTCATTATTCTACTTGAAACACGCTGTGGGCCTACCTCTGTAATTATACTGGCTATGCAAAATAGTCTAACCTATAACCTTAAGGTTCCATACAGTACCTCAACTTTGTGACCTTTGACCTTCCGGCACTGTTTTATCCACAGGGTGTTTTATGTGAGTGTAAGTTATTCTTTGACCCCTGACCTATGCCCCTGTCTGCTCTTCACCCGATCGTAATTCCCAAGCTACAATAAAGCACCATCTCCCAATTCCAAAACCTCATCATATAAGCAGATCATAATTAAATGAAATCTTTTCAAACTTAAATCAGATCATTGGATGTTTAATTTGAAACAAACATGCAGTTGTTTAAATGCAGATGTGCTAACTTGTGTTTTTCAATCATTTCCATTGCAGTACTCGCCCAGTATGAGGACCACCTATCTGTCTATGACTGACGCCCAGATTAGACACTTTGGGACTGACTTCCAGGCGTAGCCTGCAACGCAACCCTTTCAGAGCAGCACTGTTCGAGACTCTGGGTTCTTACCAAGGAGGCTGTCCTGTCTCTCATGGTTTAATCCTGTTTACCTGAGCTGCAGACAGCTGTCCAACTCTAGGACATTAAAGCAGAGACAATTACCACAGTAACACACCAATGCAGTGCACTTAAAGCCCTGCATGCAGTTTTGAACAGACAGCCTGTTCATCTCAAGACTGTTGTTGATTTTGTCATGATGTGTGGAAACACTGTTGCTCCAATATAAACATTTATATGAGCCAAATCAATCATTTAAACTGGATGAAAATTGTTTCTTGCTTTTTCTTGTATTCTAGTGGCCTGCATGGATATGATCCGCATAACGGTCAGTATACTGATGGCTGATTATGACCAGTAGACCATCCATCACAACAACATTTCGATTTTTGCTAAATCTATACTCTTTGTACGTCTCTGAAATGAAGCCCTTTGTGTAATTACGGTGCTAAGTGAATGCAACACCATCTTTTTAACCACTCAAAATAATGACAAAAATGCAAACCATACCAACATGGATTTGCTAGGAGAAGCCAAAGATTTTACAAAGTTGTGATGAGTTTTATATTTATCTTTCTAGATCAAATAACAGGTTTATGCATCTGATAGTTATCATTGTTCTGAACTTCAATGCATCACCTGATCAGTGATGAGTAAAGCAGTTGGAGTGAGGGGTTTATTATTATAAGAGCACACCATTTCTAATAGACTTTCAGTCATCCATCACTGTTCTCTGACACAGCTCGTAGAACATACATCTGGATTTGCAGAAATGTAAAGTTCGTTCTCAGATCAATCTACCGTCAGTATCTTGTGGATGAGTCATTGTTTTCTTCAGTGTTGAAGAAACCTGCTTTATGGTGTCTTTTGTGTTGAATAATGTATCAAACTAAACTAATATTTGACTGTAAACGCTGTATGCAGACTTGTGTGTTGTGTCTTTCCTTTGTTATACTACTTATGCTACTTGTGATGGTAAACCCAGGTGCGGAGGGCTGGGCGTCCGGGGCTGCAGCCACGGATCTTTTATGTAGCATTGCGCTCTGCCAGTCTGAGCCCAGAGTAAAATGCTTTTGTGTGCACAAACTAGAGGGGGCCAGCAAACACAAGTGTGATTTTGGTGACAGTACGACTATCTTGGACAAAGCTATAGTGGGAGTGCCAAATCCGGCAGCACCAACACCTGGTCTGCCACATGTGGAAGCCCCTCTTTAGTTTTTCACCTGCTGAGCCCAGAGCAAAATGCTTTTGTGTGCACAAACTAGAGGGGGACAGCAAACACGAGTGTGATTTTGGTGATAGTACGACTATCTAGGACAGGGGTGTTAAACTCAATTTCATCGCGGGCCACATTAGCATTATGGTTGCACTCAAAGGGCCGGTTGTAACTATATAAATATATATATAAAATAATGTATTATATTACACTATTGCCTCTGAATTGGATTATTATCGGATGGGATAATAACTTAGTAATTAACTACCAACTACGTCTGAAAGCAGATGTCCAGGGCAAATAATTGCAAGTCTCTTCAGTGTGCATGTCACAAAACGAGATGCATTGTGGGACATGTAGTTTATGGGCAACCTGCTTCTGTAAAGTGGAATGTAACCATAATAAACGTATTATATTGTTCGCAAGCTCTTGCGGGCCACATAAAATGAAGTCGCGGGCCGGATTTGGCCCCCGGTCCTTGAGTTGGGTGCCAAATCCGGCAGCACCAACACCTGGTCTGCCACATGTGGAATCCCCTCTTTAGTTTTTCACCTGCTGAGCCAACACATCCTCACTCCCAGGTCGGCCTATGTTGACGTTATGTCAAGTCCTGTGTCGGCTTTTTCCAACGCAAGGGGGGGGGGCTTAGCGTCCATTTTCAACGCAAGAGGGGGGCCCTTAGCGTCCATTTTCAGCTTTCCGGGATGTCCATATGCTTCTATGGACGCTCATGGAAGCACGGCATTCGTTTGTGTCGGCTGCCCTTAAAGGCAATGTGAGCGTCCATTCTCATTGGATAACGGAGAATTGTACACCCGGAAGTAAGTATTCCCCTTACTGTCGATTGAGTTTACAGTGATATCTGCACTACTCATCGACTAAAAAACACCAGATTATCCTTGTTAATTACACAACATTGATTGGTTTAAATTGTGTGCAATGCTTTTGTATTTTTCCCCTTCGATTCGGAGAAACAAATATTTTTTCGGAGTAAAGGATGGCAGAAGACACTACACTACCCAGAATCCCCAGCTATCGTTTGGACTACACCATGTGCTCTGTTTGACAAACCCCGTGATAGTCCTCAAGCTCTGTGATTGGAGAGTGTGCTCCGAGGGTTACGCCGAGCCTCGAACGGCAGAATGTCCAAAACTGGATTTGAACGGGACCACCGCGTCCCCCCCCCTGTTCTGCTGAACATGGGCTGTAGAGAACCGTGCAGATCTTCCCTATTGACACCAGGACCAGACAGTCTTTCTGAGTGAAATATAATAAAGTAGTCATACAACGCAGTAAAATTCAACAAAATATAGCCCATAGTGTTAGAGGTAAAACGGCAGGGATGACCCAAAGAAATATGTTACTGCGTTTTAACAACCCCCAAAACATGTGCTTTGCGCCCAGGCCTCTCTGTGCCCCTGACCTTATATCCTAGGTCCACCCCTGGTTTAACCTTTACTCTTACTCTAATAGCCCAGATACCTTGCGATAAGGCTAATTGTTTTGTTTAGTGTCACCTATGAGAGGATGCTTCATATGGAAATATGCTCAACCATTGCATTCAATTAAAAAACCTGGTAGAAAAGGTGCCTCTATTCCATAAAACGTATTACAAATACAATTGAGACAATTGTTGACAGCGATGACTGCTTTGTTTTGAATAGTACACAACTAACTTAAACACTATCACATCATCATTTTATTTGTAAGGTTACTCTTTAACCAAAGCATAACAAAAAACACATTTTACAATGAAATTGTATTGGTGAAATTAAACAAAACCATGGCAAATTGGATACTGTATAAACTGAGGTAACTGTTTGAACAAAAAAAGAGACCATCCCACAGCAGCCTTCTGTGTTCCTGTTCAGCTCAGGTTAAGTATCTTTTAGGAAATGTTGGTGTCATGATCTCTGCCCAAGGTGTTGAGTCTGGAACCCCTGTGGAGTCTGGAGCTGTCCATGGTACCTGGCCATAAGGTAATGCTTCACCAACTTAAATATTAAATATACTCATATTAAAGTATATAATATAATGACGGGTTTGATATGATCTTTCAGAGTGTTGTCACACTGAAAAATATTTGAAGTAGTTGCAGACCGGAGCGAAGTCGAACACTGCAGACCTGATGTCCTGTCTCGCTTGCCGTAGGAAACAAAACACTGTGGACATGGTGGCAGACAGTTAGCCCTGCTAGCCATCATAGGCTGTTTATTATCATGCCAAAATGTTCGGAATTAAGTAATAATTTGTCTCTTGATGAAGGGGGTTCTGGAGGGGATGTGGCTAAATAATGGGAAACGTTTTCGGGAGAAAGAGTCAACCTTCGCGTGTAACGGAACAAGACAAAGCCATTTTGGTGAGTTGATAGCGGCTGTAGCAGCAGATTAGTTCACCGTTACTTGAATGCAAGGCAATGGGTAGCTCAGTGCATAGCGCTGTAGCTAACAGGCTACATGGATTATTGTTAGCTTCATTTCCTAGCATGTCACTGTTATTCAGAGTCTGTACAGAACGCCTTTGTTGGGACTAGTTAAGTGTTGTCTTTGGGTGTGTGTTATGAAGTCTAACACCACAGTGAACAATTCAATGCGTTACTGAAAAGTCATATAATGAATATTACTTGCTGAAATTGAATTGTATCATATGTGATGGTCAACTTATTAGATGTTCTAAACTGTAAATGATATTGTTAAATGTAACCAGAGTTAACACCATCTTAATCATGTGTAGCCTTTCTTATTATGATATTGTCAGTTGGTTAAAACACACTTGACTTGTATTTGTTTTCCAGCAATTGAAGCAGCAGAGAGATAAGTTGAAGCAGTATCAAAAGAGAATCTACCTGCAGCTACAGAAAGAGCGGCTTCTGGCAAAGCAGCTGCTAAAAGATGGCAAGAAAGAGTAAGCATTAAACAGACCTTTTACAGTTCACATCTGAAACAATACTGTATGTATCACCATGTAGTAACACTTCTATAAAGGCAGGCAACAAAATACAATAGAGAATGTTAAATCAAAATGATATGGTTTTCTGTTGTGTTTCTGTGTAATGTTTGTTATACATCTTGAAACAAGCTTAAAAAAGCAGTGCTGCAAATGATACACATGTATTATTTTTGTAATAGTTATTAAGAAGTGAACACTAAGTAGGTGTTGATTAAAAAGCAACGCTGCATGATAAGCCTATATGTAGAACCTTCGTTGAAGACCCCTGTATGTTTACTGTGTATGCAATACCACGTTCTGTATGAATACTTTAAAGCTTACTCTCTGCTGTATTATGTTTTCCCTTTGTATCTGTTATTAAAGGAAAGCACTGCTGCTTCTTAAGAAAAAACGATATCAGGATCAACTACTAGAAAAGACTGAAAATCAGATTTCAAACCTAGAGCACATGGTAAGTTTAGTGAGATTACACTCTTCAACGTCACCAAGCCAATTTTATAATAAAGTAAAATCTTCCAATATATATTTTTTTCTTTTACAGTATAATATGGCTGTCTGATATTCAATAGAGGCAGGACTCATGCAATGAAAAACATAATGAGCCACTATGCAGTCATGGTGTGGGAGTAATTTTGCAACTTGTTTATCTTTTTATCAACAGGTCCAAGATATTGAGTTCATGCAAATTGAGATGAAAGTAATTGAAGGACTTAAGGTTGGCAATGATTGTCTGAAGAGTATGCACGAGGTAAATTTGCTTTCATGTCAGAAACATCCCTTTCACATTAAACAATAATATTACCACCTTAAGCTTTAGATATGTTAGTGAATACTTCAACAATGTCAAAGTTTCCACTGATACACATACTTCAATTAATGTGATCCTCTGGTGAAGAAAGCAGCAGAGAACGCTTGTGGTTTGTGTTAGCATAGCTGGTGCACATTGTTTGAAGATTAAAAGATTAAGAAGCAAAGCCTTGGCTACAGCAGTGTGACTGCTGCACATCCTTGGATACAGTGTACAGATCTTGTTCAAGAAATTCACAAGCCAGCCAGAATATGTGGAAACAACCTTTCATCTAAAAACACCTCTGTATCATGAAGTTTCTCTTCTTGACAGATCATGTCAATTGAAGATGTGGAGAGAATCATGGATGAGACCCAGGACTCGATAGATTATCAAAAGGTAAATGTCTGCTTGATATCAGTCAATAATTGTTTATCAAAACCTGCATAGAATGTTTATTTTAGCTATAAGTTTAAGATCAACTTAATTTGCACTATAACAAATCAAGTGCATTTTATTTTATTTGAATAATGCAATTTTGTATTTGAAAATCATTACCAAATGTTATATGTTTAGAGGATGCACACTGCACACTGCACAAATACAAAAATAAATACATTTCCCATTACATGGATAACTGTCCATGTTGATAGTAAGACAACATAAAATCAAAGCTGTCACTGTCAGAATCAGAATACCTTTATTAGTCCCATAGAGGAGAAATGTACATTGTTACAGCAGAAAAGAGCCAAAGACAGCTTAATGTTACCTAAGAAGCATGCATACTTCCTAAATATTAAAGGGGACCTATTATGCTAAATCCACTTTTTCATGTCTTTTATACATAAACACATGTCCCCTCTGCGTAAAGAAATTCTGAAAGTTTCAGGAAAAAATATTCACTCACTTTTTGTCCTGATCCATTTATATCAAAACCTGAAAATGAGCTGATCAGATATTGGCCACTTTATGATGTCATAACGTTTTTTTGGGTTGTATAACCATTAGCCAATCACCAACCCTCCTTTCCTCATATTCCAAAAAATGGAGGGAAAATTCATTATAGCGGTAGTGAATCACCCGGTGCTGTATGATCAGTCTCTGTTCATCTACCGGGATACAAACCGGAGGAGCGAGGCATGGAGGGAGGTGGCAGAGACAGTGGGTGAAACTAGTAGGTTTTCGCCTGTTTGGGGATTTTATATCCAGTTTACTTCGTTTTAACATTGCTATTGCTTTGTATGTCGGGGGCGGGAGATTCATGTGATTGGTTGTTGGTCGCGTTGCTCGCAAAAAATCCCCAAGCTTCAGATACGCCCACCTAGCACTGACAGGGCTGAAACAGAGGGGATTATGGGATGCTACAATGCATGATATGTTTGGTGTTTCGAGCCAAACACTTCAGAAAAATTATTTGTATATATCTGAGACCTATAATATATATTGATGAAAAACAATATAATAGGGGACCTTTTAAAGTTAAACACATTTTATAATAAATAAAGTTACACAATTTACAAAAAAACACATCATGTAACAGTTCTGAAGATTTAGCAGCCAGGCATATATTGCAGTTATTAACAGCATATATATATTGCACATATTGCACATAGTTGGTGGTTAACAACAAGGAGTGTTATAGTGCTATATTATGCTGTCAGCTAACACGTTTTGCTCCTGTAGCAAATAGATGAGCTGCTGGCTGGAGCCCTGACGCAGGAGGACGAGGATGCTGTTTTAGCCGAGCTGGAAGCCATCACTCAGGTGGGCGTTGAGTGGGCCTTGCACCTTTCTTACCACAGAGAATGTTTGCTGATCGTGCATTATCTTTCCCTGTAACATCCCACTCCACATTTAAAGCTACACACTGAGGCCTGGTGTAAACACATGCTTCAGATGTTTGCCACTAACTGCATTTATATTTGACATGATTTGTAAAATATCAATATCTGGAGGAGATGAATACTTCTAGCAATGTTCCAAGCCACAGTATAATTAATTGTCAGCAATAATAGGGTGTATAATTGTTATTTTAAATTATGCAAACTGTCAATCCTATCGAACGACACATTATTTCACACTAGAAGACAGATTTTAACCCTTAGGATTTTCAATTTGGAAAAAGTAGAAATAAATGCTTTTGAGCCTTTTTAGCAGGATAACTAACATTTGTTTGGATGTGCCATCAAACAAGTTTGGGTTAAATAACTTGGCTCATATAATAACAATGACAGCCTTAGTGCTGAGTGATATTATTGCACTTCAGGGAAAAGGTCAATATGCATGACTCTGAATCTGACGCTTGCATTACCAACATATTTAACTTGTTAGAACTAAAAACAGTTAACTTTGCCATTGTTATATTATTGTGCTTTCGTGATTGGTTATTTAACCTTGTATTGTTGCAACTTGTATTGTTACTCTTCCCTTGTCCGGAAACAGGGAGAAGATTTAGCCCTTCCAGAGGTCCCTACTGAGCCAATAGGAGGGGTCCCAGAGGCAGCTAAGGCTGAACCGGGTATGGCTGTTTTTCTAATCTTATATCACAATGCATTCCTCACACTCTTGATAAAGTGTATTTACAGTAACTGATATTTGTTTTACTTTGACTTTCTTGTCTAGAGAGGAGAGAAGCAAAGAACAAGCCAGAAAGAGAGATGTTGGCAGCCTAACAGAGTACTTTTATTGTTGGAAATAGGCTGTCTTGTTCCGAGGAGCTGTCTGTTGAATTCAGTATTTAATTCCTAACTGTTAGAAGGTGAAGATGGGATCTGCAGATATCAGTGCACCTTCACACATTCGTCAGGACCGGCACTGTGTCTGCACTCTGGTTTACTACTCTGTTGAAGTATCTACTTAAAGGATTGGAAATATTATTTTCTTCTGTGTCTGAATTAGATTAGCACAGCAATGTCACATTGTAACTTCTCTGGTTATGGTGTCACATAATTAAAAGGACACATTTGTAGATGTTTTACACATTAATTCCAACTGTTTTCCATATAAAGCTGAACCTTGGCAACATGTTTTCTTCAATTTCTTATCATTTTATCTTTTATAACTGCAAACAAGTAAGGTTCTGTGGCTCTAACAGACATGTTATATCATAGCATTTGATTCACAACTCTAGATTGTGTTTCATTGTTTCTCCAGAGGGGGGCACTACCTCCTAGATTTTCTTTTTGCCCAACAAAACAGGTGTGTTCATTCACCTCCCATCAGTGAAGTGTGCATGGTTATTGACAACAAAAGTATACAGCTCATGTTGCTGATATGTGGGAGATGTTGAGACAAGAAAGCCAGTAATAGTATTTACAATCCCACACTAAGTGGGCACTTAGACTCTAATTAGCATGTACAATGAAACTAACACAAATTACCCACTGTGAGAAAAACATCACCTGTGGTGTAACTGAAAACAGTCAAGAGTATGTCTCGCTCACAGACTTTCAATGCAGTTGTATACATAAAATGTTATTTTGTAAATGCAAATAAGAAAACCTTCATTGGGACAGCAGTTCCTCTACTGCACATTATTTGAAGATTAATGAAATGGCAGCAAGAGTGTGCTGAAATGCTCTGATGGGCATAAGCATTAAACAACAAAAGGCACTACGCTGATATGGACATGGAACACTGGTGGGCAGGAGCCATACTGTTAATCAGTGTTTTTGGCTCAATATGATTTATTTAGAGCAGCCATTTCCAAGTGATGCACTACCATGGCATAATTGCTTTAAATGGATGTACACTTTAGAGAACTGTGTCTTTAAACTAATCTTAATCACACAATAGGATTGGTAACATAAATAGGCATATCAAACTCGGAATATATTAGGTATACTTTTACAGGGCAGAGACTTCTTTTAACTGTGACATGTGCTATGAGCATTTTTGCTTGTGTATACTATAGTAATGGTAGAGCTCGATTGGTAGAGAGTTATGGGGGCGTGCACTCTAATAAGGTGGTGCTGCATTCTAATACTGTGGGAAATGTTTGATAAGGGTTTGAGCGGAGTGCACATTCGAGTAGTATGGAAGCCTCGTCAACATAGAAACACAAATTTACTGACAGTCTCTTTTAATTTTTAGCCAACACTAATTTAGTTTTTGTAAAATTAGCGTACAACATTTCTGAATAAGACTACATCCAGTCCAGCCTAGCACTGGTGAATCGTTTGTTTTCAATTAGGTATGGCATTTTATATGACACATAAAAAGACCTTTAATTTATAAATATGCCCCTTTTTAGCATCATTGTATTTCCGAGTTTATTTCTCAAGCCTTCTGCTGCTCATCTCAGAGGGCGAAAAGCTCATCTGTCGTGGAGTTCCTGAAGGCAGCAGCGGGCTGTCAGCTGTGGAGAGGGAAGGTGTGTTTAGTTGGAGTGGGGTTTCGGAAGCGCTGTTTCTTCTCACTCTCACGGGCGCGTTGCCTCGCCTATTGTTAAATCCAACTCGTGAATTTACCCTTTCCCTCATTTTTAATCGGATACACGTAAGAAGGAAAAAGAAACGTTTATGGTCCTGGCTGAAGATTTCACGATGTCTCGCACCGACGAGGTTCACCGCATGACGGAAAATGTCTATAAGGTAAGGTTCAACTAATGAATAAAGTTTTGGGGTAGCCAACATAGATAATTTGATTAAATATGTCAGACACACAGTGCAATTCCACCATTAATCCGACATATTTCTATTGGTCAAGACGCAAGCCAAAGTCTTCGATAATCCCTTTAGGGGAGAGGCGCAGTGGATCAGTTGGGTGATATTATTTGGATTAGTTTAGCAAAATGGTCTGTTTTCCACTTTATTTATACATTATATGGTCTTCCACCTCCACATATTTCTGCAGGTTTGATAATCAAGGCATCACCTCAGTTAAAAATGACCTGTAGCTTACAAAACCAAAGTCACTTGATCAGTTTTTCCTACATGTAGGCCTATTGTTCAGTCCACCTTCTTCTCTGATACCAGTTGAGGCTTTTCCTAAGACACCAGTGGATTTCTATAGCCTAGTTTCCATCCTGAAATGAGGACATGATGCATTCCAGAAGCCAGTGTTTGACGGGCAGAGAAGGCTGGGCTTATCTGTTGCAACAAGTAAACATTTGCCCCACAGGGATTTCAACACTCAAACCGGTTCTGCCTAAAACCTGTGTGCACTTTGAATTTACAAGTTAAAGGTGGGGTAGGTAAGTTTAAGAAACCGGCTCGAGATACACTTTTTGTTATATTCCATGGAATGCTCTTAACATCCCGCAGGGGCGCCGCCAGGGATTTTGGGCCCCATGAAAATATATCACATCGGGCCCCACCTATAGGCACAGGCCACTTTGTTTATAAATTACCTCGAGGGCCGTACCAAATGGTCTAGCGATCCGTATGTGGCCCGGGGGCCGGAGGTTCCCCACCCCTGCTTTAATATAATAACATTAGTATTAATATCATAACCAAAATGTCGGTGATTAACATTTTGTTTACCTAATACAGACTGATCACTCAATGCTTCAAACTGTCCATCATCCTTAATAGACTAAAAGCAGTTTTTTGTTTTATATAGATCATTGGCTGTGTGGGAAAATACTGTGTTTGAAATGTATAATTTAAATTAGATGTTAGCCTTTTGTTATATATATATATATATATATATATTTTGTATTCCAGTCTCCCTTCAGATATGTTAAGTGGCATGTCATTCAACACAATGCTGCTCACCTCCTTCAGTTGGGAGAAAAGCTGGTTCAGGTTCAGCATTATGGGGGGACAGGGCTGCTGAGCCTAAAGATGGATCTATTGGTCCTGGCACCAGGGGGAGGGACAACTGATTTAGTATGAATAGGTGCTAAAAATGTGCCTGCATTTATTAAAGGTTAGGGAGGTAAGAATGGAGAAACCAGCTCGAGTGCGCTAGAATTTGAAAGTACACAACCGAAAAAAATCTGCCCCTTCCTTCATGCCCCGGCCACACGAGGACGAAAACGGCTAAACGCATAGGATTAACGCAAACGCAATCGCAAAAAAGCTTCCGTCCACACGCAATAGTCATCCGGATAGTGTCTGTCCACACGAGACAGCTCCGTTTAGCTCCAACCGCTGGAGAAGCTGCAGTACATATGCAGGAGCCTGTACTGTACTGTACCCAATATACAAGCTGTTAATAAACTTTTCAATCAATCAATCAATCACGTGGCGCTGTAACTTCCTCCACAAAAGCAGCGAAGAAGCATGGTTGTCATGGTTGCCCTTCTGTTTATTCTCCGCGGTGGGGGCCGAGGGAACCGGGCAGAGTTTTTCGCCAGTCAACGTGTATTAAAGTTTAAATCTTCCGACAAAATTATAAAAGTGCCGGTCAAAGGTCTTCTTTGTTATTTATTGAGCTTTAAAACAAATGAATAACGAATCTATATATTATAATAATAAAATACACGGAGCCTCTCTTTTTCCTCCCTCTCTTCAGACAGCGCCAGTGTCTGTTTCATGCAGCAGCTGATCCAGTAATGAGTGACCCGGCCGACAGTAAAAATAAACATATTTATATCTAGTTTAGGTAGTTTGAGAGGTAATTAAAATAGCTAAGGGTGATGATCTGACTTGAAATGTGTGTTTTACTCCGTTCACCGCCGCATCACAGCGGGAGGAGCTGCAGGTGAGCAGAGCTGCGTGTCTCCGTCCTGTCAGACTAGACTTCACTCGCGTTTAGGTCCATATCGAGAGAAAGATAAATAATCTGAATTCAGTGTGCAGTTTACTTTGACGCGGGGGTGAGCAGCAGAGGTGGGGAGAGGCGGGGCTATTGCCTCATCATTATCAGAAAATGATCGTATGCAGGGCGTACACACGGAGCCGTTGGACCCCCCAGAGCGTTGCGTATGCCGTTCTATCCACCTTGGGACCCGTTATTGTTTACGCAGTCGTTTAGTGCCGTATTCGGTCATCCTCGTGTGGCCTAACGGTCTATATGACACTAAACAGTAACGCAAACGACCGTTTTCGTCCTCGTGTGGCCGGGGCATCAGACTTCCTCACAGAGCCCCTCCTCCAACACACACGAACGCGCACATGACCAATGAGGGCACGAGATAAGTTTGTGCACAGATGGAATGCTGACAGGCAGGTAGGCCATCCAGTTATTTTAGCCGGGCCGGCTCAGATGATTGGTCGTGCTTTTTACAGCGCCACAGCTTCCACATATGACATTTGTGTATGTATTTGTTGTCAAAGCATTTAATATATTCATTGCTATCGGGATGTTAAGAGCATTTCATGGGATATAACAAAAAGTGTTTCTGAAGTGAATTACCTACCATACCTTTTAAATGTCAGATAAAAGAGCAGTGAAATGAAAGACCTCTGAATTTTCTGTAAAGATATTAGCAGTACTTAATGTCAGCTTAGTAAACAAAAAAACATTAGCTAACAGACTAATTTCCACCACTCATGGACCACACCCACCTTTTCTTGTGAAAAACTGGGTGACATACTGTCGCCCTTTAGTCCCTCTTGTCTTTCTCTCCTTTCTCTTCTTTTATTAGAGCCTGACTTTGTTGGTCGTTGAAACATGGTACAACACACTTACGTAGGCTAAGTACTAGCATCCCTCCTCACATGCTTTCACTCTCTGCAAGTGCCGGTGCCGCACTGCGTTTGGAGGCAGGACCAAACCATTACATGTAAATAGAAGGGGGTGTACTGAGGCTTTGGGTAATTAACTTTTGGAAGAAAATAAGTTAAATGAATCGTAAGTTTAGTGAGTAATTTATCAATATAACGTTCTATTAATGTTAATTATTGAGGATTGATGAAAGGTTACTTAAACATTTTTTCTTAATGTTCTAAACATTTTGGGGCCCCTGTCAGTCACGGGCCCTTAGAATCGTCCTAACTTTTCACCCCCTTACGGCACCCCTGACATCCCGATAGCAATGAATATCGTAAGTGCTTTGACAAAAAAAAACATACAAAAATGTCATCTGTGGAAGCCGTAGTACTGTAAAAAGCACGACCAATCATTTTAGCCGGCCAGCTAAAATAACTGGATGGCCAACCTGCCTGTCAGCCTTCCATCTCGTGCACAAACTTATCTCGTGCCCTCATTGGTCATGTGCGCGTTCGTGTGTGTTGGAGGAGGGGCTCTGTAAGGAAGTGGCAGATTTGTGTATTTTCAAATTCTAGCGCACTAGAGCTGCTTTCTCCAAAATTACCTACCCCACCTTTAAGTCTCAGTATGGTTACTGGGAAAGCGTTTCTTAGTTTTAAAATGTATTGGATATCTTGGCTTTGGGATTTCATCTTGGTAGATGTATTATTTTATCTTTGAAATGGCCGAAAACTAAACAAATTCCCCAAATGAGGTCTTCAATAGGCTTATTTTTTCACATTTGCAATGATGTTAAACAAATAGAATGAGATCATTGGATTCAACATTGAGATTTGTCATTTTTCACCTAACAATGCTTGGAAATTGATTATGAAATTGTAGCTGATCAATGGGTTTTCCAATCACGGATTCATTTATCAACATGTTATAGGGGTCCACTCCTGTGTTTAGTGATCTCAGGTTTCTGTTTTGATTGTAGCATACTGATACTGATACCAGCTGTAACGTCCCTCACAGATCTGTGGCCAGTAGAATGGGTAGTTGGTAGCTGCTCATTCTCCCACAGGGAATAGACATCTATCAGAAAGGAGGTCAGATGAGCAGAGACTGGCTAGGGCTTCTTTTAGAGCCAACAAGGGAACAAAAATATTTCAGGTGGCTATTTCTGTCCTGAATTGGTCACACAACCTACAGTGTATCCTTTTCATTGTGAATGTAAGGCCATGCTCCGCCGGGGTTCATCCAAGTGTTTACATCTACTAATGTGGGTATATATATATATATATATATATATATATATATATATATACACTCACTGTAGGTGACAGAATCCTGATTCCTTGCTTTTTCAATAGGAGCCAGGCAGTGGGGCTTTATCTTTGGGGGGAAAGACCCCGGCAAAGTCCTGACAGCCAGTGGAGTGACAGTCCTTCTTCCACAGGGACCTGACCTTGTGGCAGAAGCTAAGAGATCACAGAGAGTGTCATCCCCAGTCACTGCCTTGCCAATTGTGCTCTCTTTACTAACCTCAAAGTGAACAGGCAGTTATCTTGAGTATGTTTTCATATTTAAAGGGATGGGTTCAATTTGACTGCCAGTGCCATCATATCTCCTAGATGAAAAGCAGCAGTCTTTCACAGCATACTGTATTTTTTTAAGTGTTACATACTCTCAATATCACACTTGTTTAATTCTCAATATTTGACATTCTATTAACAGGATTGGCAATAATGAGCATATATGGTCATGGAAGACTGCTGCTAATAGGATGCAAAATGACACATTGTTCTAGTATGAAGTGCAGAATCAGTCAGTTTAAATGTGTGTGGATTGTAAGCCACATCGAGGGAATGTTGAAGCCGTAAGGCATGTTACAGAAGTATTACAAATTACAGAAAAAAGTTAAGTTAGTTCAATGATGCAGAATTGATCCCATATCAAATAATATGCTGGGTGATGAGTTTATCCCGCCATAGGTGGCAAAGAAAGCAGG